ACGAGCATTTAAATGATGGATTTCTTGATCTTTCTTCTGTTGCAATGATTGTATTTCTAATTACAATCTCTTTACAACTTCAGTTTCTTCCTCCCCAACTTCTAGTTGTGGAGCTCTATTCACAGTTGTTGCTTGTTCTTGGTCTTCTCATAGTTGTTTTTCATTTTGCAAATTCAATGCTGCACTTCTCCGAGTATATCGCAGATTAGCTCAATCAGGTATATAATCAACCATTCGGACAACTTCAATGCCAATGGGACCAACACACCCTTCCACTTCATCATTATCATAGTAATCATCATCATCCAACTCATGATCTTCTACAAGTTGGGACCGCCGCTTCCAATATATGACTGGAGAGTCGGGGGATTCTTTATAGACATAACAACTTTCCTCTTTTGGTGTAATCATATCAACAGAAATCTTTTTATTAAAGGACAACTTCTGGACATGAGATTTAAGTCGCCCTTTATAAATTTTCTTTATCAAGATTATCTTTTTGAGCTCGAGGATATTTGGGTCTTTTTGGAACCCAAACTTGTTGTCTTCTCTGAGTTACATATTGTTGACCACCAACATCGGAATGTAACTTTGAATGGCTAGATTCGTGATATGATGGTTGGGGCCTTCGTTTATCATATCTTCTATTATAGACTTTTGCATGTAAATTATCAGAAGGCTCTCCTAACTATTTTCTTCTACAATATGGGTATCAACCTATATTAAGACAGAATTCTCTTGGATTTTGGTAGTAGGGAGGACAACTAAACTCTACTCTATAAGGTCTTGTTGACAATTTGTTATTCTGAGGATAAACCGCATTTGAGGAAATAATTTCAGTAACAGATTTCCTCAGTCTTCGTTGTAGATTTCTATCTTTGACAGTCTTCAGTATTTTGTATTCTTAGAAGAGGCAGATTCTTCCTTCTTCAGTGGTTATCGCTGTTAACGTTAAGTCTCCCAGAAAGACTTTTTTAATTTTCCTTTGTCATCATCATTACCCACTTTAATGGTTCAAAACTAGTACTAGTGGGTATATTTGCCTCTAACTGCGGTGATGACTCTAGAAGTGTATCGGGCACCCATCCATTAGCTCATAAGCAAGCATTAGCATTCCTTCTGGCTTTCCTAGAAAGTTTAGCACTTGAATCGGGAACTTGATTGTACTCTTCAGGCACTTCATCCTGAATTATGTTCCAACCAGTTGTATTCACACCAATAGATTGCAGCTTGGGATCATAAACTTTCTTTTTAATCACTGGAGAAGCAACAGGTGCCATGGAGAGTCTTGAAAATACAGAAGCCCTCTTGGGAGTCTTCACATCAACAGCTTCAATAGTATGGTTCTTAACGACACCTTTGGCAGTACGTACGCTAACAGTACTCTAAGGAAAGAACTGTAGGAGCTGTATGACTTCAGAAATAGTTCTGAACTGAAGGGTCGCTCCAGCATAGCCTATATTCAGAACGGCAAATTATTACGTCCGATCATCGGACGTATCTCGGGATACTCATAAAATATTATTTTAAATTAAGTGCGTCAAAAACGCAGGTAAAGCGCAGGAAAAGGGCATATAAAGTGCAATAAAAAAAAACACGATCAAAGCGTATTTAAAGCACAGTCAAAGCGCAGTCAAAAAGCGCATGCGACGTGGCAAATTTTAATTGAATGTCCACACCTATTTTTAGGTCCGGTGATCGGACATAATAATTTGCTGTTCATAACAGCTTGAGGGAACTGCACTCTTGCTCCCTCACCTAAGTTCACAAACATGAAGGATTGTACATGCATCATATTATCATCCAGTCAACATAACTTACAGGGATTAGGGTCAACCTGAATTCTGTTGAAAAAAAACACAAAACTGTTTTGAATAAACATCTATATTTATTTTTAAATGCTTTGTTATTTGAGACTAATTATATCTTTTTATCCAAAAATGGGGAGAAAAGTATTCCAAAGCGAAGTCGCCAGAAATCTGTTCGCTCAAGAAAAAAATGGCACGAATCCCGCTTTGCAACTTATGATTCTATTTTTTTTAAGTCAGATTGTAGTAAACCAAATTTCCCCTGATGGTAATGTTAGGGTTTAAAGATATAGAGTCCTTACTTCCTATGAGCGTAAGCACTCATAGTTAATTACCCCTCTTACTACGTAAGAGAATTCTCGATTAAGGATGAATAAATTTTAGGTGATTTTAGACTCAATAGTGGGGGAAGTGGGGGTAAACCTGATCAAGATCTCATAGTTCCATCGTCCCAAGTATACCATAGATTTCAATCTACCAATACTAACAATCATTGACCGTAGTGTCCAGGGAATCTGATTAGCAGCTATAGGTTTCCTCCTCTCAGGGATCCCGAGTAGACTGAAGTGGTTAGACATGGGCTTTAGTTTTAATTTTTATTTGGAGTTTGGGGTTTACATCTATTAGAATACCCAAAAAATTGATTAAAAGTTGATCTTATAACTTTTTTAGAAAGTAGCCCAGAGATTTAAATTTAGATTGGGATTTACGGCTTTTGTAGAAAGTAACTCAGGAATTTAGATTTAGTTTGGGATTATAACTTTCCTAGAAAATAGTCAGAAGATTTAAATTTGGAATTGGGGCTTATTACTCTATTTATGAGTGGCCTAATGATGGGTCTTACAACCTAACTCTATAGTGAGGCTGCCCGAGAATTTAATTATTTGGGTAGGACATTATTTCTCTTAGGAAGCTGCCTGAAATTAGGTCTTACAACTTAATCCTTTAGACGAAGATGACCATTGATTTGAATAAGATTATTTGCGGTTTAGGGTTATTGCTATTTATTTAGCAATTTTCTTAGAATGTGGGGCTTACGACTTCAGTTATAAGATGCCTGATAGCGGGTTTACAACTTAATCCTATTAGATTAGGATGCCCGAGTTTAAATTTATTTTTTAGTTAGATTTGAGTTAGGTCTTATGACCTCCCTTAGGAAGTTGCATGGTTATTTGCAGGATTATTAGAGTTGATATATTTCATTTAAAAAAAAATCCTAATGTATGGGACTTACGACTTCATTTAGAAGTAGCCCGCTGGTATGTGTTACAACCTAACCCTATAAGCGAGAATTTTCGAAGATTTAAATTTAATTGTTTGGGTTTTAGGATCATTATAATTTTATTAGTAATTTTTCAAAAATGTGGGTCTTACGACTTCACTTAGAAGTTGCCCATTGGTGGATCTTACAACTTACTCCTATAGACTAGGATGCTCATTGAAGGTTTGTAGATTTTTTGCTAGTTTGATACTAGACCGTGATTTTAGCACCTTCGCCTTGAACCCGTCTGCTCTTCCCTCTACAGCTCGGTTTGGCCGCACGAAGGAAATGAGGACCGAATGTATTTCGGTCCTCTAATAAGAGTGGGGGCATAGGGTTCATAGCATAGAGTCTTAAATGCCCCTTTACATGCATTATTTCGTATTAATACTATTTGTAGTTTTGTCATATATAAACCTCTACGAATTTTAACTTCCAAAATATGTGAAATCCAATATGGCTTCTTTATACCGATTTGCTCAGAATTTTACGTACTATTCTATAAAACTTATTGCATCGAATTCCGACGACTTTGAAATTTTGCCTAACTTCATCGCGACGCATCCAAATGCGTGCGACGTTGAAGATCAATATTTTTCGGATTTTACAATTTGATGCTACTAAATGCTAAGAACTTAGCTTCTAACAAGTAACCTCAAAAAAGTTCTCGCGCATCACCAGGAAGGATGATTAATTATAGGTGTTTGCATTTATGAGAAACCTAAAACCAAATCATGAAATCCTCAAAAAAAAAAAAAACAAGGACAAAATCTCGAGGTAATGTCTTATCTTAAACCTAATAAAGCATCCAAAAATTTGAAACGGAAACACTCACGCTCTCTCAAAAAAAAAGCTAGGGGGCAATTTTTTAGATCCCACACCTTTATTTACTTGTAATATTTAGGAGGAGCCTTTGAAAATATATCTTGATATGATTTCCATTAATACTCACATTGGATTTGCTTTTATCCTACGAGATGGTACATTCCACCAACGTGAAGCTCTTCCCAAGCTTAAGAAACAGGACATCACACGAGGAGAAAGCAGGGTAAAGGAGAAGTGCTCACCGTATTGTATCTATGATATCACAAAGAAACATTATGAGTTTCTATCTATGTTATCCTCTGTCGCATTTCATCATATTGTACGTCACTGTTGGGATGACTTGGATTCAAACGCCAATATTATCCTGACACAACCTAAAACATTAACTCACGAAAACCTACAAAATTAAGATATTGCTACACGTAATTATGAAAAGTTGAAAGCATGCCTCATGCATTTAAACTATGAAATTTCATTTTCCATAATATCATTTCCAGTACTGACTTAAGGATAAATTTGCAAATATTCTACAACCAATCAAAATGCTGATTCTAAAACATAGGGAAATGCTGGGAATACAACAATTTTCTAGTTTTCTTTTCCTGATGTGATTTCATTAAGCATGTTACAGCGAAGACAAGGAATACAGTGACTACGTTTAAGTTATGACTTCTAACAAAGAATTATTCTCCCTCATTATGCCAAACATTAAAAAGCAAAGGCCACAAACTTCGAAGTACAGCAACAATACTTGTGCAACTTAAAATTTAAAAGAAGTTTGACTTTGATACCCTTCACCTCGCTAGCTGTGCTGTTACATAGATAAACAAACAATATGTGACTAGCTAATGTTTTCCCAGAGTTTTTATGCCACTATCATTAAAAGAACAAAAAATCCAACATGCTTGTTAAATTGGCATGCTGTGACTCATTTCAAAGTACTCTAGGTTAAAAGCTGCACATTAAAACATTATCTCAAATGATGTATATGATTGGATTGGCATGTTGGAACTCATTAAAAATCTGCACATTAAAATAACTAAACTTCTCCACGAAGATTGTAATATCAGGAACATCCGAAAATAATATTTTCATTTTCTCCATACCTCTTTGTTTGCAGAAGAAGCGTCTAAGAAGAAAATTTTGCACGGTATTAAGCCTTCGGGCTGCCAGTAACGGTCCCCCTTTAGCTTTCAATCTGAGACCATAGCTGACGTGAACAAACAAATTCACAAAAGAAGAAAAATAAATAAAATTTTAAAGATCTTAACATCAACGATGCAAATGCCCACAGAAAAAATATTCAATAACAAAACATAGATTACCGAGTAAGGAAATATTTCCTATATGTAGTGATCTCTCCGTTTCTCAACTTAAAAGATGAATTTATATCCATTACATCAAGAATACCAGTAACACAATAAATATGTCCATTGTGAGGTGTATAAACTACAGAGTGATGCAACATACAACGGCAAATGCAGCCATTTTTTATCTGTATCAGCTGAGCCACAATTTTTTTAGAACAGCAGTGCTCAAGGTGCTGCATTCTATTCTCGATAGAGAAAGCAGGTGAATCAACGCAAGCCCAGTCAACTCCTCCAATGATTGAAGGAATGAGTAAATAAACAACGGCTTCAGATCCATCCTCTGTGCAAATACGAAGTGACCTCAAGAATTTATCATAATCTTGGTGAATCAGTAGACTCAGAACAGAAACCTGAAACCTTCGAGCTCTAAAGACCTAGACCCACAAGAAAAAAGTGCAAAATTAGTATAAAATATAATTTCCTAAGCATACATAAGCACCAGAAGTGTCAACTCATCATCCAAATATACAAGAAAAGTTCAACCAGGCTACTGCTCAAACAAAGCCTCAAGGCATTAATAGGTCAAATAAGCACAGGAGCGAAGAAGATTTAGTGAATAACATTAAGAAATTGTATGAAAAATATCTTACCTGGTCACGGTCAAGATGGATAAAACCGAAATAATCAACTTGTACAAGTATAGAACCACTGGAAGTCTCCAAATTGAATGAATTAGAAATAAAATCAGACCCTAAATCACACTTCACAACAAGGAAGATATCGATCTTAAAATTTTCAAAGTCAACTGAACTCATAGAAACCTTGTAGCAATGATACAGTCCAACACTACAAAATGATGACCACGAACTCACTAGCTCACCAGGAAAATAGTAGTCTTCTTCAACTTTGCATGTTTCATCCCCTGGTGAGAGTAAAATAAAAAACAAATGCAATGAAAACGGTTCATTACCAATTAATATGCTACAATTAAAATGAAAAGAATTATATGTCAATAATAGACAAAAAGTTATGTTGACAACAAATAAAATATGAGCATTGAAATTTTTCTAAGAAATTAAATTTTACCGCCATTGTTATCATCTTCCGTAGCCTCATCAATCACAGGTATAAGATGATCAGATAAAGCACCAATCTGATGTAGCTCCTTGCATGCTTCAAGACATGCAATTTGCCTTACCATGTTACGTGTACCCTCAACTTTAACAGGTTGTAAAGGACTACTTTTTGGAAGGTGCAAAGTGCAAGTGTTTGAATCCTCATCAATTTCAAAACGAGGGAGTGGTTTGAAATACCTAAAATAGAACCAAAAAGGGCTAGTAAAGTATTCCATTATAAAAAAACGTATAAATGAAACAAAAGTTAACATAATAATAACTAATAACAGAGTACAGAATGATGAAAAAACGCACCCATCAGAAGGGAGCCTTGAACAATAAAAGTATATCAGTGCTACACTGGAGTTGAGATTAACAACAGAACCTGTAGTCTCAACACGGTATGAGTTGTTTTCAACAATGTTTGGAGATTTACAAGGAAGGGAAGCCACACGAAGGGCTTCCCCTCGCATAATATCTCCACTGTCAAGGAACCTTCGTACTTGTAAAAGTGTCTGCAAATCATCACTGTATAAAACAAAAAAATATTGAAAATAAAATAAAAGAGCAATTACGCCATGAAAGATATTAGTTGATAAATAATTTAGAAACTGTAAGCACAAGATGGTTATTTGAAAACGTAGAAAAATACAGTTAAAATTTTTTGAATTGAAAACAAATACATTTTACCTATCTCACCGCTGTGTGCAATTTGCCGATTACCCAATCAAAATCTTCCCTCTACCACATCCAATATCTTAAAAAAAATATAATATAACATATCACTTAATGTCACATGCTTCTATCACATAAACTTACTAAATCCCTAAATCATAAGAACCTACACATAAGTTTTCTTAAATTTCCTAAATTTACCATTTACCAATTCAAAATTAATTATATTTACTTTCTAATTTTGGATTTCTTCATAATCCTAATTTTTGGGAACCCTTTTTTTGCTAATTTCATTATATATATATATATCATACACTTAACTAGTAATTAAAATACAAGTAATTTCCGAATTAATCTAAATTAAAATTATAAAAAATGAAATTTTGTGCAAAAACCCTAATTCTCACCTCTAAAATCTGTCATAAGTCTATTTGAAATAATAATATTTAAGGATTTTCATGATTAGGAAAAGCCCTAAATTTTTTTAACTTGAAATTTAATTAACCCTTATAAGAGGCTTTCTAATGTCATTAGGAATCATTCTTATAAAACCATTTTGAAAAAAAAAAAATTGGAAAAAACCCTAATTTTCAAAATCCAAATTTTTTTTGGGGAAAACAAGAAATTTCATAATTAGAAACCTTCTTTACTCATTCATCTTCGAAACTTTGATGTTCTGGATAAACCCTAAAACTTTAATCCAAAAAAATCTAGGGAGAATGAAGGCATTTTGGTGTATAAAACTTACCTGACTCTTCCTTAGACTTTCCCCTTCACATACCCTCCAAATGCTCCCCGAAAGCCGCCGAAGCTCCAAGCCACCTCCCTTCTCACGTCCACTCCCCCTCTCCTATTCGACAAAAGGAAACACAAAGGAACTGAATATTTCGGTCCCTTAGAGACTTATGAAAAAGGTAGCTGGAAAAAGACGCATGTACCATTCTCCTATAATTTTTCCTTATGGCCTTGGAGGGCTATTTAAAAATTTGCATTTTAATTTTATTGAAATAATCTTCGTCCATTTTTAACTTTAAATTCGCGCGAAATTAAGTATAAGTTCTTTATACCGTTTCGATCAAAATTTCACGTAGAATTTAATAAAATTAATTGTGTCAAAATTCCGACGAATTCAAAATTTTGCTTAATTTCATCATGACGCATCAAAATGCGTGCGACGCATATGATCAATATTTTTAGGGATTTACAAATTGGATTATGGTGGATGCAGATACACTATTTCTATCAATATCAAAGAAGCAACCATTCAAATCTTCTTCTTGTAATTCAATTGATGTTACCTCAACTTCATCTTGTACAAACTACTCATAATACGATGAAATATCCTCACAAATGATGCAGGCAAAAATCAGGGGGATGGGGGACCCGAGGACCTCCGCCTGCAAGAAATAGGAAAACTAACTACAAGCTCGTAATAAGACGAGCAAACTCTTACATTTCAAATAAAAGAAAGACTTATAAATAAAAACAAACTGACAACAACAAATTGAAATTAAACGAGACTTACAAACTCGAATCGAAATTAAAGACATCCTAAACTTGCTTTACTTATAAAAGACGGATACAGGTGAGGTGGTCACTTGCGGAGAGACCAAAGAGGTTAGAAGCCGAGAAGAAGGGTGGAAAGAGATTGCAAGATTTCCAAAGAAGATGAGAAGAAGAAGGTGGACAAAGCTCGCAAGCTTCTCCAAGAAAATCCGCAGCTTTCTTTTCCAAAAATTCAAATATCACTTTTTTAAAACATTACAAACCCCTTATATTTATAGGTATGAAAAGAGGAATACAAAAAGACACAACATTGAATTCCCACAAGAATCCAAGCAACACAACCACGGAAATCCCCCCCCCAACTTCACAGGAAAACAGCCCACCCAGGGAACCGAAGAAGCAACCACGAGAACCCAAGAGGCCGCACGGAACTGAGGCGCCAAAAGCCACGGGAAAGCCCCCAGTTCGGAAAACCAGCAGCCACCGTGAGAACCAAGGAGCCACGGTATGGAAACAGTCAACCCGTGGAAGCCAAGGAGCCAAGGCATGGGAAAACAAACTTCCTTGTGATCCCAAAAGCCATTTTGGAATCCCAAGGGACAACTTAAATTAAGACATAAAAAACTATAATAAAATTTTCATTAATTAAAAGATAATTATGAACTAAAACTTAGCTAATAATGAGCTAACCCTTAGTTCAATAAATGAACTAAAGACCAGCTGATAAATGAGCTAAATTTCAGCTCAAATTTCATTGAGCTTGTAAACTAAAGGGAAGTCAAAATCAACTTATTTTGGGTTTGAGTTGATCCCCCCTTTGTCTACATCAGACTCCCCTTCTTGAGAACTCATCTCCCGATGAGTTAGCTTTGGTTTCTTTTGAGGAGGTGAAGACGGTGCATCCAACTCTTTGATCTTTTCTTCAAATTTCTTCAAAATTTCTTCCTGCTCTTTCTCGAACTGCCTTTGTAGAAATGATTTTCACTTCTCGAATTTTTGATCACATAAGATCATGTGATATTGAAGCTTGTATAATCGGTCTTGAAGCGGATCAGTTGAATCACTTTCAGTTGGAACCCATCTGTCTAGTGGAAGAGGGACATCAGGATTGTTTTCTTCCATGAATGAATCCAAATTTTTGTTGTTTTCCATTCTTTAAATGACTCAAAAAAAAGACTCAATCTAAAAAACTTAGACTCAAAATACTTTCAAGACTCACCAATCTAAGAACTTAAGACTCACAATAAGACTCACGACAAGACTTACACAACAATACTTGACTTGAAAAACAAAAACAAAACTTGACAAACCTAAACAAGACTTGACAACCAAATCCTAGGACTTCCTAACTTGCTATGATACCAAATGATGCAGGCAAAAAATCGGGGGATGGGAGACCCGAGGACCTCCACCGGCAAGAAATAGGAAAACTAACTACAAGCTCGTAATAAGACGAGCAAACTCTTACATTTCAAATAAAAGAAAGACTTACAAATAAAAACAAACTGACAACAACAAATCGAAATTAAACGACTTACAAACTCGAATCGAAATTAAAGACGCCCTAAATTTGCTTTACTTATAGAAGAGGGATACAAGTGAGGTGGTCACTTGCGGAGAGACAAAAGAGGTTAGAAGCCAAGAAGAAGGGTGGAAAGAGCTCGCAAGATTTCCAAAGAAGATGAGAAGAAGAAGGTGGAAAAAGCTCGCAAGCTTCTCTAAGAAAATCCGCAGATTTCTATTCCAAAAATTCAAATATCACTTTTTTAAAACATTACAGACCCCTCATATTTATAGGTATGAAAGGGGGAATACAAAAATACACAACATTGAATTCTCACAAGAATCCAGCAGCACAACCACGAAAATCACCTCCAACTTCACGGAAAAACAACCCAGCCAGGGAACCGAAGAAGAAACCGCGGGAACCCAAGAGGCCGCACGGAACCGAGGCGCCAAAAGCCACGGGAAAGCCCCCAGTTCAGAAAACTAGCAGCCACCGTGAGAACCAAGGAGCCACGGCATGAAAACAGCCAACCCGTGGAAGCCAAGGAGCCAAGGCATAGGAAAACAAACTTCCTTGGGATCCCAAAAGCCATTTTGGAATCCAAAGGGACAACTTAAATTAAGACATAAAAAACTATAATAAAAATTTCATTAATTAAAAGATAACTATGAACTAAAACTTAGCTAATAATGAGCTAACCCTTAATTCAATAAATGTACTAAAGACCAGCTCATAAATGAGTTAAATTTCAGCTCAAATTTCATTGAGCTTGTAAACTCAAGGGAAGCCAAAATGAACTTATTTTGGATTTGAGTTGACCCCCCCCCCCATTTTGTCTACATCAACAAATCAAAAGGACTTCGTCATCATTCAACTCTTCTTCAAGTTTTCATCCTTGAGTCTCTTTTTGTACATAATATACACAAAGAAATTCATCATTAATGTTGTTAGAAAATTTATCATGTCTGTGTATAGTTAATTATATGTGTTCCAATTGTGTTTACATATAGCAACACAAGAATAACAAACCAATAGAAAACCGTAAGCGGGCTTAATGCTATAGAAAAAGGGAATGAACGTGAAGTCGACAGCAACGAAGAGGTGGATTTAGTTTAGGTTTAAGTTTTTTTAAAATAATAAAAAAAATTACTGAGGCATACACCTCACAATAGTGAGGTGACACATGCCTCAAGACGCGCACCAACCAAAATGAGGTATATGCCTCGCATGATAAGCTCGAGCCGTGTGCCTCAAAGTTTTTTTGGTTGAAATTGCATAGGGCGTGACAAGGCATGCCTTTTATTATGCAATTTTAAACATGACCTTGTACAAAGGGTTCAAAGCTTGTATATTAGGAATTACAACCCTACCTGATTGACAAGGTGAGTAAGAGAATTTATCCTATTGAAGAATTTTCATTGTAGAAGTGTTCACTCTGGCAAGGGTTTTTTAAAATCTGGGTTATACTTCCTATGTGCGCAAGCCTTTATAGTTAATTACCCCTCATAACGCATTAGAAGAGCATTCTGGATTGAAGATGAAATATATTTAGATTGTGCAAGGAATGAGAAAAATCTGCAATAGTGTTTTAGTGATTTCATCTTAGTTATGGAGCGATGAAAGTACACCCGATCAAGATCTCATGATTCCGTCATCCCGAGTATACCGTGGATTTCAGTCTACCAACACTAATAACCATTGATTGTAATGTCGGGGGAATCTGATTAGTAGCCATGGGTTGCCTCCTCTAAGGGATTCTGAGTAAACAAAAGTGGAGAAATGTGGATTTTAATTTGATTTGGTTTGGGCTGGAATTTATAGCTCTGTTTAAAAGTTGTATATGTGATTGAATTTGGGTTAAAGCTTATGGCTTTTATTTGAAAGTAGCCTTAATAGTGTGTCTTACGGCCTCTATTAGAGGTGGCCCAAAGATTTTGGGTATGAGTGGATTTTATAGCTTCTATTAAGTAGCGCAAAGACACGACCTAGCCCTGTAACTAAGTGGCCCGTTGGTGAGTCTTACAAACAAGCCCTACAAACAAGGATGCCCAAATAAGGGGTCAAGGATTATGTTATTACCTAAACATTTCTCTCAGAGATCAGACTTACGACTTTTATTAGAAGTCGGACAGAATTTCAAGTATTAGGGTTAGATCAATTTACCTAAAGATTTCCCCTAAAATTAGACTTACGACCTTCACTGAAAGTTGCCAAGGTTAGGAGTTTAGGTATTTACATAATTCAGGGTTTTGACATCAGCGTTAGTGTCTTGTTATTTTGTGTTCGTAGTTTTTTCTACTACAGAGTTTGTCACTCAACTTTAGCACTGTTGTTTATTCTTTACCTATTTTCTAAAACTTTGCTTTACCTACAATAGCTAGCTTTACTCTTTCAGCATTAATTTTAAGGTTTAGTGTTTACGGTTTAAGGATAGGGTTTAGTATTTTTAGTGTTTAGGGTTTTTAGGATTTAGTATTTATGGTTTAAGGTTTAGTGTTTTTAGTATTTAGGGTTTTTAGGGTTTAGTGTTTTTAGTGTTTAGGGTTTTTAGTGTTTAGTATTTATGGTTTAAGGTTTAGTGTTTTTAGTATTTAGGGTTTTTAGGGTTTAGTGTTTTTAGTGTTTAGGACTTTAAGGTTTTTAGTGTTTAGGGTTTAGGGCTTAAGGTTTACGATTTAGGGATAGCATTTAGGGTTTTTAGGGTTTAATGTTTTAGTGTTTAGGGTTTTTGGAATTTAGTGTTTATGGTTTAAGGTTTAAGGATAGGGCTTAGGGTTTTTAGGGTTTAGGGTTTAGTATTTGTAGTGTTTAGGTTTTAGGATTTAGTGTTTATGGTTTAGGATTTAGGGATAGGGTATAAGGTTTAGAGTATTTAGAGTTTAGGGTTTTAAGGGTTTAGTGTTTAGGGATTTGGGGTTGAGAGTTTTAATGTTTAGAGTTTAGGATTTAAGCAAAAACGTAGTAATAACCCAACAAATACTCATCTGATACACAATGAATACGCATAAAATACACATTAAATACGCATAAAATACACATCATATACACATAAAATATACATTAAATACACATTGAGTACGAAATAAATACAAAGGGTTTATAGTTTAGGTTTTAGGGATTATGGTTTAGGGTTTAAGTTTTAAGGTTTAGAGTTTAGAGTTTTTATGATTTTGAATTTAGGGTCTAGAGTTTATTGTTTAGGGTTTTAGGGTTTATGTTTTCGGATTTAGAGTTTAGTATTTTTAGTGTTTATGGTTTTTAGGATTTAGGGATAGGGTGGTTAAGGATTTGGATTTAGGGATAGGGTTTAGGGTTTATAGGATTTAGGGTTTAGAGTTTTGTGTTTAGGTTTTTTAGGGTTTAGTGTTTTTATTGTTTTTAATTTTTAGGATTTTATGAATAGGGTTTAGGTTTCAAGGTTTAAGATTTAGGGATATAATTTATGGTTTTAGGGGTTTAGTGGTTTTAGTGTTTAAGGTTTTTAGGGTTCAGGGTTTAAGGTTTCGAATTTAGGGATACTGTTTATATTTTTTAGGGTTTATGGTTGTTGTCTCAAGAAAAATGGCACGAATGCATGAATCCTGCTTTGTAATTATAGGATTTCATTTTCCATAAGTCAGATTGTAGTTAACCAGATTTTCCCGGAGGGTAGTGTGAAAGTTTAATTAGATCTAGGGTCCTTACTTCCCATGAGCGCAAGTACTCATAATTAATTACCACTTTTAACACGTAAGAGAGAATTCTCGATTAAGAATTAATATATTTTAGGTAATTTAGTCTCAATTGTGGAGAAAATGGAGGTAAACCTGATCAAGATCCCATGATTCTGTTGCCCCGGATATACGATAGTTTGAGTCTACCAGCAGTAACACTCACTGGCCGTAATGTCTAAGGAATCTGATTAGCAGTCATGGAATATCACCTCTCAGGGATCCCGAGTAGACTAAAGTGGTTAGGTGTGGATTTAAGTTTTAGTTTTATTTGAATTTTTTAATTTACATCTATTAGAATACCAAAAAATTAATTTGGTCGATAGGTCTTACGACTCCATTAGAAGTTGCCTGTAGGTTTATTTTGGAGTGGAACTTACACCTCTTTTCATGAGTTGCCCAAAGATGGGTCTTACAACCTAACTCTACAGCAAAGCTGTCCGAAGGTTTTAATTATTTGGGTGAGTCTTATGACTTTTCTTAGGAAGTAGACTGAAAAACAAGTCTTATAACTTACTTTTTTAGACTAAGTTATCCATTTGTTTGGATTTAATTGTTTGGGTTTAGGATCATTGCAATTTATTTCACTTTCCTAAAATATGGGCCTTACGACTTCACTTAGAAGTTGCCCGACAGCAGGTCTTACAATCAAATATTATAGACTAGGATGCCCAGTGCATTGAATAATTGTCGGTGCTTTTATGTGTTTCGTTGAGGAATTTATAATAGAATTTTCACATGCTTTCAAAATGGGCTTAGTATCATAATTATTGTATTTCAAAGCATTATTTAAAGATGAAATTCTCTCCTAAGGCTTTTTGCCTTGATTTTTCAATAAGAGATATGCATGTGACTATATTTGAGTAACGACTTATGGCTTTCATTAAAAAGCAGCCCAATTAATAGGACATATGGCCTCTACTAAGGGTAGCTAGAAGATTTCAGTTGGGTAGGTCGTATTGCTTCCTTAGAAGTTTCTTAATAATTGGTCTTACGACCTAGCCCAATTAGCTAAGTGGCCTGAGTTGTGGGTAATACAACCAAGCCCTGTAGACTAGGATTCATAGGTGAGAGGTTAAGGTTGTGCTATCACCTAAATACTTTCCTCAAAAGTTGGACTTATGACTTCTATTAGAAGTAATCGGTGTTTTAATTGGGGGATAGGCATTAGTCAATTTTATCTAAAACTTTCCCCAAATGTCGGGCGTACGACTTTACTTTGAAAGTTGTCAAGTAGTGTGTCTTACAATCAAGTTCTTTTAAACAAGGTTGCCTAGGGATTTTATTATTTTATACACTTTAGGGTTTGACACTTCGGGTTTTGACATCGGCGTTAGTGTTTTAATTGTTTTCTAGCATATTTGCTTTACAAGATTTTCAATACATTACTTGCAGTAGCTAATTTTTTTTTCAATATTTAATTTTTATTTGTGATGTACTAACTTTTGTTTGTTTGTTTTCAGGTACATGGTAGTTGTATCCACTCAGAGAGTTCACAAATGCACGAGTCACTTAAAGTGTGTACATGGAAAATCTTGAGAGTTGTGTCATTTGTGTTGAGAGTTGAGAGCTTTTATTTTGTGACATGGGATTTTTGTTTTGAGAGTTGGCTTAGAGTGTTGAGTCGTTTGTACAGTGTTTGGAGACTTGTTCTGTACTTGTTTGAGTTTGCAGAGTTATTTGTCAAGAGCTTGTATATGTTTGATTAGTAAAAATATTGATCTCTTGCAATATATTGAAAAAGATGATATTACAAAAAAAATTATCATAAAATCTGGCTTTGTGTTTCCAACAATTCTAATATATATATATATATATATATATATAATTGTCCAAGCTCTTTAGCTTTAGAAGGCAAAGAGAGCAACTCTTTTAACATCAG